GAACGCTCAACACCGCCGCTACCGCTTACCGCTAAAAAGAACCCCTTTTTCGTATCTCCTCAGTTTCATGGTGCTCCCCTTGTTGCCTCAGCCAGTATAGGAATGTTCGGCGTCGACATATCGAGTGACGTGCAGTTTCGTGGTCACTTGGAAGAGAGTGCCAAATTGGCTCCTAAAAAGCTTGGCGTGCTCAGCAGAGCGGGACAGTATTTCATGCCGGCACACCGCCTGCAACTTTACAAGGCGCAGGTTCGGCCGCACATGGAATACTTTTCCCATCTCTGGGCTGGGGCTCCCCAGTACCAGCTCCTTCCACTTGAGCGCATCCAGCGCAGAGCGGCTCGAATCGTCGACGACCGAGTGCTTTCCGAGTCCGAGTGATTCACTGGCACTGCGAAGAGATGTTGCATCTCTTTGCATTTTCTTTCGCATATGCCATGGAGAGTGCTCTGAGGAATTGTTCGGATTAATTCTAGCCGCCAAATTTCGTGAACGCACTACGCGGCAAACGTCCCGATACCATCCACACCATCTGGATGCTTGGCGGTTCACCACTGTACGTTTCAAAAGGAGTTTTCTTCCGCGTACAACCTCTCTGTGGAATAGTTTACCATCGGTGATTTTTCCGGACCGATACGACCTGGGAACCTTCAAGAAAAGAGCTTACTCCTTTCTAAAGGGCCGGCAACGCACCTGCAATTCCCCTGGTGTTGCGGTTGATCATGGGCGGCGGTAGTCACTTAACATCAGGTGAGCCGCATGCTCGTTTGCCTCCTCTTCTATAAAAAAAGAACGGTAACTTCTTAATACAGGTACTTATTTATATACTTAAAAGGAATGTCATTAAAAATTTTTGGTGAACCAGGTATGTTACAGAAATAATGCATTTTGATTTTAATTTTTTGAAATTTAGAAGAGTTATTGTTTCATTAGGAATGACACAAAATTCATTGAAGTTGTATGCTATATAACTTTCAAATAAATTTTTCAGTACGATACGTGAGCCACCTACTGTAAGTTAATTGTACTATTCCTAACCTTCACGCAAGTGCAAGCAATAAGTTGACAAAGTTTCAGCGCAATCTGATGAACGGTATAGCAGCGTATAAAATACGAACAAACAAACATTAATTACTTTTTATATAAACTTTTATGTGTCTTTATGCAGAAATCTTTTTTATAGTATCGAGACTGATGAAGAAAGAGACCCAGGATGGTGACAACGGGTTGTATCATCATCCTACTCAGCGACACTGCCATTGATGTGTGACTAGCAGTTGTATCGACTTTTTCAAAACTATTCTTTACATTAAATGAAATACCGTAATTTTAAACGATTTTCCGAAAGATATTGCAAAAAAAAAGCAACACAAAACTTTTTTTACCCTTTTTAATAGTATTATTATTATTACTGTTTTCGAAATAGTAAGCCTTCAAGGTCATTTTTGTTTGAAAATCTTATAAATATACATACAAAGACTTTTTTTAATTACGTGCACATTTTTGAATTTATATTTCATAGAGCTTTTTATTAAAATGTCGCACGGTGATCCCGAAAACAAATACATATGTTAGCTCACAAATTTACCACCTTATGTACTTTACATTTTCATAGTATTTGTATAACCGCATTTCAAAATTATTAAAATTAAGTTACCACCTATACGCACCTATACGTTTATTAGAGCAAGTTAGTGTCTGCCACACTGCTACAATGCGTGTTAATAGATATAACAAGATTTAATATATCTTTTTCAAATATACAGATTTACTTACGTTGATCTTTGTCACCGCTGAACACACAGTAAATCAGCGGAAATCGAATACAAGCTACACAGCTCTTTTGTATACTGGTCCAAACTTCAATCTTCTACTCTAAAAAACTCTTTGCGACAGAGATCATTATACATCATTACAGCCCTTCACAATTGCACAGCTGCCAAGGAATGCTACAAATCACACTCCTGAGCCACCAGCATCCATTGACCACCCCCCCAAAAAACAAAAACAACCAAACTTCCCCCCCCCCAAACACAACCAAACCCTTTCCTCAAAACTTCTTGCATATCTTACCAGGTCGTCACTCCATCTAGTGGGGGGACGGCCTAAACTTCCCCTACCGGTACGAGGCTGCCACTCGAAAAGCTATTTTCCCCATCGGTTATCGGTTCTTCGAGCTATATGGCCGGCCCGTTGTCTCTTCAGATTACTAATCCGTTGAGCTATGTCGGTCACTATGGTTTAACTGCGGATATCCTCATTCCTAAATTTATCACGAAGAGAAACTCCGAGCATAGCCCTCTCCATAGTTCGCTTAGCAACTTTGGGTTTCTTGAGACAGCTAGCAGTGAAAGACCACTTCTAAAATCCATAGGTCATCACTGGCAACACGTACTATTTGTACAATCTAGTTTTGAGGTTTTTAAGTATGCCTAACTAGAAGGTTGCATATATTGGCAGGGAACACTAATAGAAATAAAATTAAAAATATTTTACTCACCCGACAAAAGCTCGTTAACGGCGTTATCTGAAAACAAAAATTAAATTTTGTAAATAAAAGAGTTTAAAAAATAATACTAATAGTGCTATTAAAACTACACAACTCTAGTTAAAATGCTTGTGTTAGGAGTGGCACACGACAGTAGACCAATAACCTATTCAAAAACCGCGACCTTTGAGTTTTAGAGTCCTTGTACCCTTCACCATTATGCTAATGACGCTCTGATTTTTTTAAATAATTCTTTGATTAGAAGATTACGAAAGCAATCTTATTCTATTATTTTCTATTTTGTTTTATTTATTAAGGAACAGCAAACAGCTACAAAATACTGTAATATCTATAACACAATAACATGATGTATTCACAATGATGTAGTCCACAACGCGATCCACATACTTAAATGTTAATTAAATTGTCGCGGACGCTAAATAAAAACTTAATAACTAAAAATTAAAAAATATGGAGCCAAAATAATATTATTTTCACATTTTTAGTTTTTCAAATATAGATTTTTTTAAAAGCAAGAGCATTCGGTGTAAACAATTAAAAAAGCTATCCCCTTACCATGGCCTCATAAATACTTACCCGAGATGCCATATTATTATCTATTTCTTATGTAATAGATATTAATAAAAATTTTGAAGCGACAGTAGCCTAATGGCAGGGCGCGAACCGCGAACTCAAAAAGGTCGTGGGTTCGAATCCGCCATTCGACTACTGGCGTGAACCACACAAGAAATTTAAGCTTACCACGAGTGGTTAAGGGGAATATTAGTAATGTTTATAGCATTGTTGATATTCTTTAAAAAAGTTGCATAAAAATGTAATATTATTTTTGTCACTAAACCAACAATCTATATGAGTGATCGTTTAACTTCTATTAACTATCCTTCGTGTGGCCTTAACTTAACTTGACAGATTAAGGTCATTTACACGGTATAGTATATATTTTAATTTATAGAATATAAGTAAAAAACGAACACACAACCACCTGATGGTAAGTGAATGCTATGGCCCATAAAAATCTACATTACCCTATACCCACAAGAATCATAATGCAGATAGATGCGTTGCCACCCCTGAGGAATAAGACGGAATGCCTCGTTTACAGTAAAAAGGGGCCTCGGATTCTCTACACAGCAGCATTTAACTTCTATTTTTCGCTGGTATTCTGTGAGAGCGTGGTCCTGGATTAATTCTTGTGATTCAGGACAAATGTACATGCCTAAGAGCCACAGCATCCACTTACTATCAGGTGGACTTTGTGTTTGTCACCCTTATTCTATAAAAAATGAACTATTTATCGGCATGATTTCCGTCATCAGCAAAAATTTGTCATTTTCATCGCTATTTTAGAATTATAGGAAGCCATTACGTCTTTCTGGCATCCCTGAAATCACCTTTAATGATTTCGACGATATGAAATGTTCCGGTAGATTCTAGCTTACTGTCACCATACAAAGATTTCAGTTTTGACCTCCTATCATCATCTCCATCACCTTGCATCTTTGATATCCTCTTCTGTATCCTGACTCGGGACACTTTATATTTTACACAACTATATAAAAATATCTTCTTCCAAATAATTTCACAAAACACTATTCTGAAGGAAAATATGTCTTTCTATTTCTTAAATAATATTATTTCTTTTTGTAATGTTTTTTATTTTTATAGTAACTTAGAGCTTCCATTTTTTAATAACGCTAAGTGAAATACTTTATGAAGTACGTCGTTTCAAAGCAAATAAAAATAAATGTCGCGACCTTATTCTTACTTAAATTGTGCTTTGATGCACATAAAATCACTCGCCGAGTCACTTGGTATGAAAAGAGGCGAGTTGACGTTATATTGTCGAAACTGTTCATAATGTCTGTTTTCATCCGAAAATATCTTGTGTTGCTGTGAAAGAACTACGTAAATTTTGGGCGACAAGATTGGACTACATTTAGGGAATGAAAATGAAACTTTTGATAAAATCTAACCAAAGAATAACACAATTTCTTATATTTACGCGAACATTGCACATATAAAACTACTTTACGATTTATCGCGTTTTTTTACTTTAACCCGATCGGCGCCCACACCCCCCCTCTATTAAAAAAAAAAGTAAAAATAAACGCGATAAAATCCGTAAAAGTAGTTTTAATCATATGAAAATGATATCAACATACAGCTTCAGCGTTCGATGCTGAGACATAGTTTTTTTAATAGTATAGAGTGACAAACGAGCACACAGTCCACCTGATGGTAAGTGGTTGCTGCGGCCCATAGACATTGATGCATTGTCACACGTGAGGACTAAGCTAGAATGCCTCCTTTCCAGTAAAAAGAATTTGAGGTTCTATGCACTCACCATAAGAAACACAACAGCGTTTTGTCGCTATTTTACGCTTGTATTCTGTATAGCGTTTTTCCCCGGCCCAACCCCTCTACAATATAGCTGCAGCATGGCTCTACCACGTAAAGTGGATGATTACAGGTGGCTCAGGAAGGCTCAGTTCTTGGGAGAGGTCTTTGTTCAACAGTGGACTTGTGGTGGGTTGTAATGATGATGGTAAATTACATGTAATTCTCGAGGGTAACTACGTATCTATAACCTCACTGGATGTTTTATACGTGTTAGAACCACGCTGAAGTTATATTATGGCTGCAGCATCAATGGGTCGGCTCGATCGGGGAAGGGCCACGTTCTCACAGAATACCAGCGTAAAAAAGCATCTTAATGCTGCTTGCTGTATTTCGTATCGTGAGTGTAGAGAACCGGAGACTCTTTTTACTGGAAACGAGGCATTCCATCTTAGTCCTCACGGGTGACAACGCATCTGCATTTTGATTCGTAATCGAGGATAGATGTAAATATCTATGGGCCACAGCAACCACTTACCATCAGATGGACTGTGTGCTCGTTTGTCACACTTATCCAAAAAAAATGTTAAAAATAAGTTAAACTAGAATTGATTGATTCTCAGACATAAAAGAACCATCATAATCATAACCCAAATAATACTGGTACTAATAAACGTATAAAAGTAAAGAGCACCTTCGTACTTTAGCTACACTTTTAAAAGGACCTTACAACAGTCTAGTAAATGCTATGTAATATACGCGCTCTCTCGACGTGATTTTGCAGCTCTTTACTTTGCTTTAAATGCTTTAAATGTCGTAAGATCATTTTAAGAATAACAATGACAAACAAGCACACAGCTTGTACGGAACATAGTAGACATCTATATTTATCCTCAATTATTAATCAAAATGCAGATGCGTTGTCACCCCTGAGAACTAAGATGGAATGCTTCGTTTCCAGTTAAAAGGGACTCTGGCTCTCTACACTTACCGTACGAAACACGGCAGCGTAGTCGCGACCGGGCCGGGGCACGTCCACCGTGCGCCAGCTGGACCCGTCATTCATACTACACCGGGCTGTTTACGTGTATTCTTTGCACGGCCGTGTCTGTGATAGGGGTTTTTTGTCTACTAGTGATTTTGTCAGTCGATAGACGTGACGCTTGAGTTAAATATGCAATTTTTACAACTTGAATTGGCAGCTATTGCAATCGCCTTCGATGACGAACTATTAGGAAAACGAAGCGAAACTTCTAAAAGAAAATGGGGTGTTCATCCAACATGGAGAAAGCAAGAAGCAGAAGATTTCGCTTTACTCTACAAAGAATTAATAGATGACGAGAGCAATTTTTACGGTTATTTTAGAATGTCTAAAGAATGCTTTACTTTTTTGCTTGAAAAAGTAAAACCAGACCTAATCAAAAAAATATCAAGATTTCAAAAGCCTATATCTCCCATCGAACGATTAACAGTGTGTATTAGGTAAATAAATTGGTATTTAAAAAATCACTCATATATTTATTTAAACGTTTAACATCAGTCTTCTGTAAACTGCCGAAAGTAGTTAGACATATTATTAACGTTTGGAATATTATTAGCGTTTGGTGTCGTAGGCATCAATTCCGAAGGCGTAGATTCCACAGTCGATGATGGTGTAGTCATCGGGACCGGTGTATACATGGGCGTTGAATTAGCAGACGACGATGGAGGATAGAGGTAGAATGATCAGTATGTAGAAATTGTTTATTGGGAATATATTGTTAATTATATCGAGTACAATTTTTTTTAATTATCGTTTATTTTGCATGTGTATTTTAATGTACTACAATATTACATATAATATTATATATAATATAATAATACACATAATATTGTAGTAAATTAGGACATATGCAAAATATATGACAATTAAAAAAAATTGCATTGCAGTACAGTTCAGTTGAACATAGTGAGTGTTTGGGGTGCAAAATCTAGTGCGTAGTACATATGTGTATCGACGTTTGTCGTCGATTACCCTGCGGGCACCCGGCGTACAAGTTCATGTTACCACGTGTCGGGGTCGGGCCGAGCCGGAGCCGGGAAACAATACCCACCGACATTACTACGCCGTGCCTCGGCCGGGCCCTGGCGGCACACGGCCGGTCTACCGTCAAGCATGAATCACTTCATACAAAAAGTATGCAAAGATGTTTGACCGCGTCCCGTCCGGGGCATGACGCGGTCGCGAATCGATGTAACGTGAATCATCCTTAAATCTGCTCCCAGTTGAGCCGACCCATTTGTGTTACAACCATAATATAGATGCAGCGTGGTTCTACTATATATATATATAAGATATTCATTATTTTATATTATAATTCGAATAACATAATAAAATAACATATATATATATATATATATATATATATATATATATATATATATATATATATATACAGATCAGTGCGTAGTTACACGTTTAGATATGGTAGAGCCACGCTGCAGCTATACAATGATTGTACCGACAAATGGTCGGCTCGACCGGGGAAGGTCTTTCAGGCACAGCGTGACAGCAATATATCTCGTAAAAACTACATATTATTCAAATGTCTTACCGCCCATGTCTTCTCAAGAAGCCCTTCGTCGTAATATTCATAGAGTAATGTATAAATAGTTGGCTGACCATTAATAACATGTTATGCTTAATAAAATTTATGGAATTTAATTATTTATTAGTCGCTAATGACTGGCTGCGGAGGGATTAGTTATTAAGAGAGCACGCTAAAGTTTCATAGCGTATTGATCGCAGTTCTTTGAAAATGAAGCTCGTTATGCGAAAATGTTAAGGTTCTTTAAATTGCCCTGAATAATATATTACCTACATTAGAGTAATAAATCAATCAAATCTCTTTAAAATATTCTTTATAGCACATAATTGCTCTAAGTGTTCGTGTAACTTCTGAACGACTTGAACAATTGAGGTCATACTCATACAATTTTTTTCGAGCCGACAGTTCATAGTTATACTCGGATCCATAGATGACGCTGTAGTCATTTATTAACATATTCCATATTTATGCACTAAAAATATTCATATTCACAGTATAATAATTATGTTGGTTTAGTGGCAAAAGGAATATCATAAAATCATAATATACGTTCTCTGTTTATGCAATATACATAAAAAATTAAATAATACCCTTGGGTAAGAATTTACGAGTATCAGGAAATTGACGGTGTTTCGGATTCGGTGCGGTTTTGGTCTGGAGGACATTATTATAACCCAGGCTAACTTTAGTCTTGAGTCCAAAATCAAATTATGAGCCTACCTCCTGTATTTTTCTCCTCACAGTAAGCTTGTGCCATTGGTGGTCATCAAATCTTGTCTTCGCTGGCTTGATATGCATCTCCTGCTTTCCATTGCCAAGTCCCATGGTTAGCGACAGACCTCCATCTCGGACTGCCAGGTTTAAGTAGTCTGCTTCGTGACCTGTTAAAGAATTATTTTTCTTTCAATTACGGTGAAATTAATTTAACCCATACCTATTCTTATTTTCTAAATATGTGTGCAATTGTACGGTTCAATCTTCACCGGTATTAAAGAAATTGTTAATTAAAGTTGAAAGTGCAAAGTGAAAGTGCTTCGTTTTATTAAGAATTTATTAAAGGCATAGTTTTATTAAGAATTTATTGAGGCATTTTTTTATTAAAAATTCATTGAGGGCATAATTTTATTAGGAATTTATTGAGGTCATAGTTTTATTAGGAATTTATTAGGGGTATCGTTTTATTAGGAATTTATCATGGACATCGTTTAATTAGGAATTGTTTAAAGGCATGGTTTTATTGAGAATTTATTAAGTCATATGTTTAATAAGAATTTATTGAGGACATAATTTTATTAGGAATTTACTGAGAGCATCGTTTTATTAGGAATTTATTAAGGGCATCGTTATATTAGTAATTTATTATGGGCATCGTTTAATAAGGAATTTATTAAAGACATAGTTTTACTGAGAATTTATTGAGGTATATTTTAATAAGAATTTATTGAGGACATATTTTTAATTAGAATTTATTATTCACAACATATTTTTATTCACAGCTTTTTAAGGGTATATTTTTTAAGGATTTATTGAGGCCATAATTTTATAAGAAATTTATCGATGCTTTCAATAGAATTTAAGAATTTATTTAGGCTATAGTTGGATTAAGAATTTATTGAGGGCAGAGTTTTATTAAGAATTTATTGAGGACATAGTTTGATCGAGAATTTATTGGGGGCATAGTTTCATTTGTCATAACCCGTAAACCAATAAGTGATAAAAAGGGCATGGCCCATTTTCGGCCATGGAACGCCCAACAATGTGCATTTGTTAAAAAAAATATATCTTTATTTATGGTTATTAATCGCGGTATTCGTTTATCCTAAAACAATGGGAATATTTTTGCACAAATTAATAGTACCGAAAAGATAAAAATAATATTAGGTAAATACGTAATTCGTTAGTTTGTGAATAAAATAAAAAATGTTGCCAATCACAAAAATCATTAAAAAAATTGATTCCCCTTTTCGATCGATTACTTATGGTGTCATTATTACAATGCTTATATAATTTTTCGATAATTATTACGATGTTATGATATAGGTTTAAAATAACCGTTGACAATGGATATTTATCTAAAGCAGCCGATACGCAACCGTTATTAACCAGTTGTTTATCCGAATTTAAATTCGAATTTATTTATTCTTTTGTGAAATATAAATTACAATAGCTGTTAATATTTAAAAAAAGTATTACGTGGTAGAATAATGCTGCAGCTATATTATTGATGCGGCACGAATGGGTCCGCTCGATCGACAATGGACCACGCTCGGATGGAATACCAGCGTGAATCTTAATGCTGTGCTGTGCTGTGTTTTGTATAGTGAGTGTGAAGAACCGGAAACCATTTTTAATGGAAACAAGGCGTTCCATCTTAGTCTCAATCTCTCATAGGTGACAATGCATTTGCATCGAAGATACTAGTAGCTATAGGCCGAAGCATCTGCTCACCATCAGGTGGACTATATATTCGGGTCACCTTTATTCTATCAAAAAAAATCCTGAGAAATTTAGTTACACTTTCTTATGCCTCGTATAACTGTTATTTCATTATATCCGTCCAAAATAGAACTAGTGAAGGTTTCAATACTTACCGGTATAAAACAGTAATCCATTGGGTTGTCGAGTCTTGAAGTAAAGTGAGATAGCATCCTGTGTACTGACTATGGGCTCTCCTCCAGTTTGCGTGAGATCGTACGAAAGAAACTCGGCGCCGCGAAATGTTGCCTCTGATGGTGCTTTATCTGTAACAATAAATTTAATAAAATCATTAGTATTCTTCAAAGATTAGTTGTCATGACAACGTATAGAGCCACGCAGCTACTATATAAAGGCTCTCATAGAATACCAGCGTAAAATAGCAGCGTAAAGGGTTTCGTGTGGTGAGTGTAGAAAAGCAGAAGCATTTTGATGCTTAATCAGGTATAAATGTAGGTGTATGTCAATGAGCCACAGCAACCACTTACCACCATGTGGTAATGTGTGCTCGCTCTTATTTTGTATAAAAAAAGTACTTTACATTGTCATTTTCTACACCGACAGTGATGACGTTTCTATGAGTCATTACTAAGTCCGATATAGGATAGGCAAGTGTATCATACAGCTTCTACTTAGTATCCATTAAACAGTGACCATTATAAAGTAATAAAAACACTTTTAAGAAAGCCTTTAATATATTTTACACCAACTACAAACTTGCATTCTAAGAAACTAAAAACAATTAAGATCAAATTGCTTTAGTTTCCAGGCACGTGATGGAGGTGAAGTTTACAAACTTACGGGAAAGCGCTTGAGTACAGAAAACTTGTGCTGAGAATATATAAAAATTAATTCCACTCTTTATCCTTCCTAGCCGAGCTCTTACCAATAGTACGTAATTGGAGTCGCTTTAAATATTTTGTTATTAATATACAGTATTTTAGCTACTTATTTTAAGTATACAGATGGTGTTAAGAAGTATATACTTCCAAACACCATAGAAAACGATTTACAAAAATACAATTTTTTTAATATTAAACAACTTACGTATAATACATGTCTACTTATCTACAAGATAACTCACGAGCTTATTCACTCACACATAATATTCACAACAAAAAGTCAAATAAATAAATATATAACCCACCGAGTCAGCAATTTTGTGTTACCTACCGTAAGAACGAACTATGGAAAAAATAACATAACATTTAGGGGAGCACAGTTATACAATCAACTTCCAAAACATGTGAAAGGAGCAACTTCAATCAATATTTTTAAAAGAAGATTATTTGAATATATTTATAATGATGAAACTATGCATTAAAATTATACTTGGACCACCGCCTTCTAGCGGATAGGAACACAATGAACTCGCTTCTTGGTTGACGATCGACCGATGTAATTTTTTTACTACCCACACGCACTAGAATTATAATATAGATATTATTATTTACATATAAGTGACAATTGCCTTAATGAAAAATAAGGTTCTTTAAACCGAAGTATTTTCTTATAGGCGCATACTATAAATATTCATATATTATCATTATCATAATAATAAGTCCTTGACTATATATAGGCGTCCCTCTGAGAACACATGGTCCCAAACCACCGACAACCATCGTTATTATATCTTACCTCGTCGATATTTATCTACTGACAGGATACCCTATACTTTGCTTACCAGTACGAGTCTGTCGATTAAAAACCTTTCTTCTCCATCGTCAGTTGGTTCTCCGAGCTAAATGGGCGGCCCATTGCCACGTCAGCTTGCTACACTGTTGGGCTAGGTCGGTTACGGAATCCACTTACCATCAGGTGACTGTACTGCTTTTTTTAAGAAATTTAACTTGAATAATACAGTAAGATTTTCAACTATTATTTAATTTCATTACATAAATTTGTATTAAGTAACTACTTGTATTTAAGGAAAAAACTGTAAAAAGTAGTTCTCAATTAAGTCCAGGACGTGACACTTCTTTCATTAATCAATTTTCTAAAAAAAAGTTAACTGTCAGGGGCTATCAACGAGGGAGAGAACTAGTTCAAGAAACTAGGTATTCAGTTTCTCAAAGTCTTTAATATTTAAGTTGAGGAGAAAAATTAAGTATTATTCATTCGGAATCCGAAGCAATGACCTATATTTTCCACTGAAAATATTTCCATTTTACTTCAGTAACCGATAGAGTAGAAATTTTCTCGACCGGCAGCTTCGTAACGGTAACCGAAGTGTGTGATGGCCCCCAGTAGATGAAGTGACAACCTGATAAGGCAAGCAGAATGTTGATGGAGGCAGTAGACTGAGGATGATGTTTTGTGGCATTGCCTGAGGGAAGCCTATGTTCAGCAGTTGACCGATGAAGGGCTATGATACGTGTATATAACATACATACGTTTTCCCGAATTCCAACTTCACCTCTTCTGCAAATTGGCATATCAAAGTAATACTTGTCAGCTGACACATTTTTGGTAAGGCGTTTTTCTATAGGGAATTGCCTACGCGTATCCACCTCGCGGGGCAATACGGGTTATATCAGACGCGCAAAAATTTAAAAACGCATCGTTTTCCTTTTTTACGGATCCACAGGGCCAAGGAAAAACTCTCGCACACATCTAGCTTTTCATCTCAGGCCGGCCATGTGAGATGCTTCTTGTTAACTGTGCGTGACTAAGCTTCGGCAGGTTAGCGTGACTATACCGTAAAAGGTACGACAAGTCTGTACCGTTTAGGGGTGAGAAAAAATCAATTGTAAATATCTTTTATATATGGAATAAAACTAATTTACAATTGCTATTTCTTTTGCGCAAATTTTCGTTTAAGCAAAAAATGCGCTAATTGACCGTATAATGGCTGGCAGTGTAAGAATACCTACTAACCCCAATCATCTCGTGGATGTCCTCAGAGTCGCTTCTTGTCGTAAGGGGGAAAGAGACCAGATGGATAGCAAAGTCTAACTAATACTACTAATACAACTAAAAATATAAAACTGCGGTTGCCAACCCGCTTTGCAAGCGTGGCAACTATGGCAAATATCTTTGCAATTTATGGGAGATGCCTATGTTCAGAATAAACAAAATAATAATAACTGTTTTAATTACTAACTAATAACTTAATTACTAATTGCTATTAAAATCTGTCTTAATTTAGGATAAATGTAGATGTCTATGGATCACAGAATTTTTGTTTGTGTGCTCGTTTGTGACTTTATATCTATAAAAACAAACAGTAACAGTATTGCAAAGTATTTCATAAAATTTTTGATGTTTTATTTATTTAAAGTTCACATTACTAGTTCGAGGAGCGTTATATTAGGTCATTCAAAGAAACCATTATAGTCACCAATTCTAATTTCGTTATATCTTCCTAATTTCGTCTCATTTTCCCAATTTTGTTTCATTTTCCTAATTTTATTTTCATGTCTCATGCACTGGATAACAGAAAATTCATTACTAGTCTTAGATAATGTCTCAAATGATCCCACAACTTATGTTACGAGTTCATTGTTTACCTAATCACGTAGTCGGTCACACATTTCACTATGTTAGAAGCATTATTGTTATTTTGTATCTATCATTTATATATTCTCCCATACCGAATCCAAACTGCTACGAGAGAATAATCTCGTGTGATAACATATCAAAAAATTTACAAATGTGAATATTGACAAACGTATTTAGTGTTTGATTTCCGTTAAATACTATAACATCACGTCACGATACGACCAAAAACTATTTTATCCAAGATAACTTCTTAAAAGTTCTTAGATCCACTTCTATAAAAACATTGTCATTGATAGTTATAGTATGGAATCTATCAATTATGTATACACTAATTTATTAGTTATTATGAAACTATAAGAAAGAAAACAATAAATTAAACTTAAATTATCGCCTCGCGTCATTGTGCCAAGAACGCAGGCTGCGTTTCCTCGCTGAATGGCTATATTATACTAATATTATATTATATTATTATACTAATACTTGCATTATTATATTGCATATATTTTTAAACATAATAATTGGTTCAGTCGGCTCCTCTTCAAATTTTCTTCAATCAGGCTTGTTGGAAGAAATTTCAATTTGAATAAGCAATGCTACAAAAATATCTGATTTCTTTTTATTTGTTAAAAATGTTCTTTGTACAAGAATAGATAAATAAATAGTAAATATCAAATTTTCAATCTGTAAGATATCACGTGATACAATTATAAAACCTAGTGCAGCGTAGTGCAACTAGCGATGAAATTATAATATATTTTTCTTAACAACTATATTCTATCATTTAAATAATTTTGAAGGTGGTTTTACAATGATGTATTAGAAAACTAGCTGACTCGATATACGCTGTTTCGCCCTTACTGGTTAGTGACGCGATGACGGGTTTAATTTAAACACACACATTTTTCTATATACGTATAGCTAAATCCTCTTTAAGACAAAGAGAACCATCAGCAGCCATAATGACATAAACTTTAAAAAAAGTAAAAACATAACCCTTTTTTACTCTTCCATAAGCGCGTAAAAAGCCTGTAATAAACGGTAATTTACCGCCAACCTACAAAATTTCATGGAAATCCGTTCATTAATTTTCTGTGAATCGTGAATCCACAATTTTTTAGATTTATTATATGTAATAGTTATATGAAAACCATATTTTATGTAAATTAGTATTACTGTCTTGTCTCTACACTACTTCAACATTAAATCGCAACCACGTTAATCAGCTTAGGTCACTAAAAGAGTACTCTATAAATATACGCTTTTTTTAGAATAAGGGTGACAAACGAGTACACGGTCCAATTGATGGTAAGTGGATGCTGTGGCCCATAGATATCTAGATTTATCCTCGACTACAAATCAAAACGCAGATGCATTGTCACCCCTAAGGACTAAGTTGGAATGCCTCGTTTCCAGTAAAAAGTGTTTCCGGATCTCTACACTCACCATACGAAACACAGCAGTGTTAAGCTGCTATTTTACGCTGGTATTCCGTGAAGCGTAGTCCTTCCCGGTCGAGCCGACCCATTAGTGCTACAAACATAATATAACTGCAGCGTGGCTCTACCACGTATAAATATAAACGCTATTAAAATATGATAATAATGTCCTCCAGACCGAATTTCGTCCACGGCGACCTGCCTCACTGGAGGCTAGCCATCGGCGCAGGACAGGATCATAGTGCCCAAGTGTATGCGCAAGCACAGGTACACTCTCTATTCCCTCACTGTGCATCGACCGACACGAGCTGAGCAGTCAGAAACGGGGG